GCCAGTGAGGAATTCGAGAAGGACGTTGGGGGGGAGGGGCAGCATTCAACCCAAAAATCGTCAATGGCATCTTAAAACTAAAGAAGTCCAGATACTGAAAGGCCCACCGTGTGCTGTGCAAGATTAATTAAAAAGGAATGCAGAGTGGCCAGTGTGGACTGGGGACGCGGCCCTGACTCGTGGGGACACGGGTGTAACCAGCCCCGCGATGATATCCTCAAACACCCCCCATAGTCATTGCAGACTGGCGGGGGAGGGGAGCAGAAAGTACGGATTTCCAGATTTTTCCCACTTTGGTGTTGTGGCTGTCAGACTCCGACTTGGTCCGCAGGGATCCCCACCTCCTGGGGCTCGTGCTTTCGTGGGACCCCCGCCCCCGAGTGGGGGTCTGTCCCGTGGGATGCGGCAACAGTGACCGGATGGTCTTCCTGGGATTAGGTAGGAGATGTGGGACCCTCCCACCGGCAGCCACTCTGCCTCGACCTTCCTGGGAGAGGCCCACGTGTCAGGACCACGTGTGGGTCCCAGGGACCGAGGGCCTCTGTCCTACAACCACAGAAACTCAGTTCTGCCAACAGTGTGGGGGAGCCTGGGCGTGGACATGCCCGTCAGGCCTACGGTTTGAACGCAGACCACTAACACCACCTTGATGGCGGGCGGCCCAGGGAGGTCCACCCAGACGTCCGACCCACGGGAGCCGGGGGAGGGTGCCTGGGGGTCGGCTCGAGCTGCTGGGTTCATGGTAATTTGTCACGTGGCAAAGGCAAACAGCCCAGCTGACAGTGGTGGGGTGTGATCTCAACCGTGGCCAGTTGCACTGTCGGCCGGGCGCAGGGGACACTGCCAGGTGGGCGTGGGTCACTGGGTCGGCTGGGTGCGGGGCTCAGACAGTGGGGAAGAGATCAGTGAGTGACCTGACGTCAACGTCCAGGTGACCACTGTCTCGTGGTCAGGAGGGCTGGTGTGCGATGGGAGGGAGCACCCGCTTGTCCTGTGGGTGAGCGTCCCAAGCTTATCCGTCAGCCCCCTGCGGGCGCAGGACCCTCTCCCATCTGGGACGCCTGGGAGAGAGCACGGACACCCCGGCGCGGTGCAGTCTCTCTTCCCGCTCCTCGCGGGCAGGTCTTCAAGTCCTGGCCCTCGGCGCCGACCTCGGGCACCCACCAAAATGTGTTCCGGCAGAGAACTGGCCGTGAGATTAACGGGGTCACTTCCAGACAAGCCGGCTGGGCACATCTGCCCCATCAGCAGCGACGCCCGAGAGCTATACCGTCGAAGCAGAAGGGCGGCCGGGTGGTTTCGTGGAAGGAGCCGCGCTCCCGCCCGTGATCTAAGCACTTGTCCCTCCAGCGTGACCTCTGGGGGGTCTGGGTCCCTCATCTGTGAAGCAGAGGGCGGGCGCTTGGACCCGCTCAGCCCAGAAGCTAGATCTCTCCCCTGACAGAGGCGCCCGCAGGCCGAGGTCTCTGTTGTAGGAAAAAGGCTCCGTCCGCAGCCCCCCAGCTCAAACTGGGCCAAAGCCCGGCCCCTCCTGCAGCCGCCACGGAGACAGAACGCGGGGCTAAGCCCGCGGCCGACGAGGAAGAGAAGCCCAACTGCAGCTGAGGTGAACAAGAAGGGGGTTTATTGGCTCATGTAACAAACCCGCCCAGAGGCAGGGCAATCACAGCCAGTCTTGAGTATATGTAACGACGCCAAGTTCCTGGCTCCTGTGCCCCCCAACTGTCTCCGCGGTAGAACCGGCGACACCTGAGGGTGGGTCCCTCCGCAGGCCCAGGGCTGCCGCCTCCCCTCCCACCAGCAGCGCACGTGCTTCCCAATGTCCTGAGATGCCCTCCGGCCACGCCGCCATAGCTCATGCGACCTTCCCCGAACCCTCTGTAGCCAGAGAGATGGAAGGAGCCGCTGGCTTCGCCCAGAGCCATCTTCGCCCCGGAGATGACAATGACCTTAAATAGCCCCACCCCAGAGACCAGGGCTGCTGGGGAGGGAAACAGGGGCGGGAACAGGGGGCACGGCCCCGCCCAGCGCGTGCGCTGGCTTCCACTCTGTTTCGACCTCATTCAGGCCAACTCATCCTGGTGGGAACAGTGAGCAGGGGGAGCCCAGACCCGTTGGCTTCCCGCTAGACCCCCATGAACCACCCTGCACAGCCCCGGCGAGCTTCCGACCACAGGAGACACACCTCTGCCCCAAGCATTCCTGCAGCCATGAAGACCTCCCCAGCACTCCCATCTCCCCCCTGAGGGCCCCCCAGCAACCAAGGAGCTCCTGCCATGTTTTAAGGGGAAAATGAATTCTGGTGTGCAAACATTATCACACATTCATGCACTCGGGATCTAATTTTAGCTGCAAGAGACTTCGTTACAAGATGCTCACATAATTAAGCAGCTTTCTTCCCGGGGTCTGGAAGCCTGTCTATTCTTCTGTTTCATTTACACATCACTGGGATTATCAGAAATGTGTTTTCGTTTTTTAAAATTATATATTTTGGTGTTTCCAAATTGATCCACAACGGGAGATGAAAACCATGGAAATTACATGTCTTAATGCAGGTCTGTGTGATTTCGTGGCCTTGCCGTTAAAGCTGGAATCTGCAGAAGTGGGGTTTTCTCACAGCTCTCCCCCAGATTCACAATGGCTTTTGCGCCCTGGCTGCTTGATGGAGAAGCTGAGAGCTCCAGGAGGCCTCACTTGCACAAACGGACAGCCAGAGCCCTTCCTGTGCCTCCAGGCTCTCCCACAGGAAGAACCAGCCACAGGGCCTTTGCATGTCTTTGCTCATCAGACACCCAGGAGCACCAGCCCCCTGTAGGGCGCCTGACCATGTGGACCGACTCAGCGCGACCTCGGTGTACACTGACCCCATCTTTCTACTCAGCTGCAGGTCTGGCTGAGGTGCCCTATAAACCACAAGGCCATCAGAGCGACTTGCTCTTCCCCGGGAAGGAAGGGAGGTTCTCTGCGCACCTGCAGCAGGAAACGGACCAGCTACTGGGGGTCTGGCTGATGCTGTCTTGATTCTGGGTTGGGCAGGAGGGTGGGAGGCCCAAGGGTCAGTGGGCCTGGCCCTTCAGCCACACCTCTGCCCTTCCCAGCCTCCCCGGCATCTGGGTCTTCTCCCCGAAGTCCGGGAAGAGTGAGGGCCAGAGCTGGGAGCCTGGCTCAGGAGGCAGCCTGCATCTGGCTCTCCATCCTGTCGAGACTCTAGGCTTGCTTGGGGGGGGGGTGGTGTGTGCAGGGACCGTTGGGCCACCTTCCACGGCAGGTGGGGCCCCCTGGCAGGCCTCACCTCTTCCTACGACTCCAAACAGTTTCGTCAGGGGCCTTCCCAGAGGGAACCGCGGAGCCGGGGCAGTGCTGATAAGCGTTGCCAGCATTAAGCCGAGAGTGGCTGTGGGACGGCCCAGGACAGGCTCAGCACCGCGGTGGGTTCGGCAGGGACGGGTGTGGAGGCCTCCCTCCGAGGAAGGACAGCCCGCCGTGCCCTCCACCCACCCTGCTCTCACATGGTGGCTCTCGGCTTCCCAGGGCTGGGGGGAGTACAGGGTCGGGACGTTCCAACCCTGGTTTCCCCAAATCTCTCACCCCGTTTTCTTCCCCTGGGGCAGCTTGGCTCAGGCTGCAGGAGGGCAGACCAAGGGGCCCTGCCACCATCACCCCAAGCCTGGAGAAGCTGTTGAAGGGCCCATCCACCATCGTCCACCTGGCAGGGGTCCAACCCCCCCCCCACTGGAGACCTGGTAGCGCGGCCTCATTCTGAACTGGAGGTACTCCTGAAGGGAGCTCTGTCCCTCCAGGCTGAGCACCAGATGGCTGAGGATGGTCCCTCTCTGTGTCCCCACCTCTGTCCTCACCCACCCACTCCGCCCCGGCTGCAGAAACTCAGACACACGTGCCCCACAGCCCATGCCCCTGTTCTCCAAGCCCCTGAGCTTTGCACACACTGTTCTCTTTGCCTCGAGGTCCTTCCCTCGGCTCTGCTGGAGTAATTCCTACAGATCCCTCCAGACCAGCCTGTACTGTGACCCTGAGCCTGCATGGCAAGCACAGTCCTCTGCTACTGGGTTTCTTCCCCTCTGTGACCACCCCTCCTCTGCCCCCTGAGGCTGTGAGCTGGGGTGGGCAGCTTTCCTACCGCTCCCCCCAGCCACCAGCCAGCTAGCACACAGCAGCCCACTGCGCTCGTGAGGACCCTCCCTCCGGGGTGAACGAGTGGGAAAGACGGCAGGCTCCCACAGAGACAGAGGGTGTGGCGATGCGGCCCAGGGACCCAGCGGCGGGGGATGGGGGTGTGTGTGAACTCAGAGGGTTTGGCCGTGGCCCCTCCCCCGACGCTTGTGTGGATGGGGGACATGGCCAAGTGGGTGGGGTCACCGGTCCAAGTGACACCAAGACCCATCCCTCCTGGGTCTCCCCATGTGCATCCCAAGCTCCCTCTGGAGGCCAGCCCTTCCCTGCCCCATGCCCCGTCGTCCCACACCCTGCCTCTAGGACATGGGAGGAAAAAGTCAGGCAAGGGGGTTCCTCCAAGGCTTGCTGATGTTGGACGGGGTAGTGGGGGTGCACAGAGCTGTGGCAGGTCCTGAGGTCAGCGTACAGTGTGGGGATGGGGGGGATGCTCCACTCTGAGCTGCAAGCTGGTCTGCGGAGAAGGGAGATGCAGGACTGTGGTCGCGGGGGCCTGGTGGCCATATTACAGGTGTTCACAGGGTGTCAGATGTGCCGTTTAGGGTCACAGGGTCCAGCAGCCTCCGTGAGCTCACGCCCATGCCACGGTACTCGCTGCTCACAGTGCTGATGCCCGCCCAGCCCCGCGCCAGTGGGCAAGGACCCCGGCCAGCAAGCCCGCAGCGGGAAGCAGGAGAGCCGCACCGGGTGCCCAGCATGCACGTGGTCTGGCGTGCCAAGTCCGAAGGGGTCCCCACAAGCGTGCAGTGGCACGTGCGGCGGGTCTGTGAGCACGGGGGCCCCTTGGCGGCTCCGGCAGTCGGGCCCACGGAGCAGCGTCCAGGTGGTGCGGGTGGAGCAGCCGGGCGGTCATCTGGGCACGTACTCGCCGGGCAGCCCGGCCCCGCCGTGGTCGCGCAGCGCCTTGTCCACCGTCCGGATGTAGCCATCGATCAGCGCCCGCATCTCGGGGGTGAAGGGCTCGGGGTCGTGCGGGCGCCGGCCGCGCCGCCGGAAGCTGCCCTCCTTGTTGTTCTCCACGCACAGCAGCCGCTCCTCGCTCACGGACACGTTGAGGAAGGCCACCATCTCCCGCAGCGTGGGCAGCAGGCTGTGCCGCAGCTCCTCGTAGTGCACCACCAGCAGCCGCTTGCCGAACCGCAGCCAGTCCAGCACGTGCGAGGACCACCAGGCCGCGTAGCTGCGCACGAAGTCCGGCCACTCTGCGGGGAGAGACGTGCAGGTCGGCCCCGCCTCCCGGGCGCTGCGGGCGGGGAGCCGGGGAGGAGGCCGACCAGGGCAGGCGGCCCCTCGGACCAGGCCCTCCTGACGGCCCACGGGCAGTAAGAGCGGCACCTCGGGGCCAGCCTGGGTCATCGGGCCACGTCTGCGTCGGTGGCTGTGCAGCCCCACATGAGGACAGATGCGGCGTGTGTGTAGGGAGCTGGTTCCCTCTCTCATGGACAGTGAGCACCCTGACCGCGGGGCTCACGCCAGGGCAGGGAGAGCCACGGGGCCCACGTGGCACAGCGGTGTTCATCACGGGGCGGGACGGGTGACCCTCATCCACGCTCACCTTGCCCAGGTGACAGGACGAGCAGGGACACCACGAGGACGGGCGCAGGCCCGAGCGCCCGCCCAGGTCCTCCTGTGAAGCTAAGTAAGCGAGGTCCCTGCCTGATGCCCACCACGTCCCGTGGGGGTGGCCAGTCCACCTCGTGACGCCGCCGGGCAGCTGGCAACGTTCAGGGAGGATCTATCCGTGAGAGCTCTGTCCCGGCAAACTGAGACATGTGCTGGGGCTTTTGTCTTGGTGGGGACGGTGCCAATATCAACGAACACAGCTTGTGACCATCCCGCCACCTTGGATGGCGTGGGGACCCTTCATTTTCCCTGGTCTTCACGAACACCCTCAGACAGGGACCACCCTGGTGTCCCCGGTGGGTAAACTGAGGCCCCTGGGAGCCAAGGAGGGACCAGAGCTCAGCCTCCTGCTCCTGGGGCGCCAGCAAGGGGCAGGATGGGCTGGAGGCGATGGGGATGTCTGCCGGGGCAGGGTCTGCGGGGACGGGCCTGCCTGCCTGAAAGCCCCACACCTGCTGCCCTCTGACCGCTCAGTGTCCCAATGCTCGCCACCTGGACCCGTGTCCCGGCCTACCTCGGGGAGCAACGGCCGAGTCCAGGCAGGGCTGGGACGGGTGTCTGTACAGAAGAGCTGCCCTCCCCCACCTCCCTTCTGCCCACCTTTGCTCTTCCAGTTTCGGTCGGCCGCGTAGCCCAGGTGCCCGGCACACTTGCGGTTGAACTCGGCCACCAGAGACCGGTACGGGTTCCGGATCAGCAGGATGGCCGAGTCGAACATCTCGATCTCCCTGCGGCCACTCTCGTGGGTCTTCACGCAGATGGTGCGCCGGCTGCGCCAGTGGTCCTTCTCGCCCTTGAACCCTGCAGGGAGACGGGGGCCTGAGCACGGTGGTGGACCCCGCCGTGGCAGCCAGCAGCACTGAGTGCACCTCCAGGAGAACCCACAAGTCTGGGGGCGGGGCCTGACGCCCCTCTACAACCTGCAGGCACGTGCGTGTGGGCATCTGCACGGCGATTTCCCGCGAGCGTCGCCGACATCCCATGAGTGAGTCATGGCCGCAGGCGTGGCTCAGAGTGGGCAGGACACCTGGTGCAGGTGTCCCCGTGAGGCCGGGCTTCCAGCCCCCGCCCGGCGGTGGACCCCAGGGTCCTGTGGCGGGGTCCCAGCCCTTCCCATCTGTAACAGAGTCACGCGTGGGTCAGTAAGACACTGTGGGCTCGTTCAGTGGAGGCCTTTGTGCTGGCGATGGAGGAGCTCCACATGCGGCCCCACAGAGCACAGGGCCTCCCAGGAACTAGGAGTCAGGGGCCGGTCAGGGGGTGCAGCCAGATGTCACAGAAAGACCCCCGGAGGGGTGCCCCAGAACCTAGACTCCGGCCACGTCCCGCCATGTCTGGGGTACACCAGCAGGGGACCCGTGCTCCATAAATGAGCATGCATGTCTTCTAGGCTCTTGCAGACAGCCACAGCAACAAGCAGGGGCAGGGGGTGGCATGCAAAGGTGCAGCAGGCAGGGCCTGGTTCTTTGATGCTGGGAACAAGACTCCTCTGAGGTGGGTTTGCCTCCTGGAATCCAGCACAGTTCAAGCGGATCTCTGCCCCAGGCCTAACAACCGCCAGCTTTTGCCGGGGCTCCTACTGCCCAGCACCAGGACGAGGGAAAGAGGAGCCAGACCACGGGCTGTAAACATGGGATCAGGATCGGGATCGGGTCCCCAGCACCCCAAGACCTGCGGTGCCTTCTGTGTCCATTGGGCTGTCCCCACAGCGGCCGCTCTGTGTGTCCCATGGGCCACAGTAGCCCAGGACAGATGGGGTGTCCATGCGTGTCACTGGGGGGTTGATGCAGAGGCCAGCGGCCACCCGGCACCAGTCCCATAAGCCTCACAGGGGAAACCTCTGGGGCCATCACACGTGGCCACGCCAGCAACGGAGCCCCCGGGCCACTTGCAGAACAAGACCGCCAGCTGTGCAGACCCTCTAGATGAGCAGGTGACCAGCAGCCCGTGCTGCAGGACTCCATGGGCGCCAGGCCACAGCAGGCAGGACCCCGGGACAGATCATCTGGCCACCCCACTGGGGGGGCCGGTAGCACTCAGGAATTAAGGATGAATGACCAGCTTTCCTGGCTTCTCCCACCCAACCAGAGCCCCCCGCCAAGCTGAGGATGCTGTGGACCTGGGCTTCCCTTCCTAAACCGCAGTCCAGTCAGGAGCCTGGACGCAACGGGGGTGACACCTGACGGCAGACCGATAGCCCCTCGCTTGGCCGGGTTCTTGTTCCTACTCAGCACAGGGAGGCCCCTTGCTTCTGCAGGGAGAGACTAGGGGCCACACAACTCGGGGGGCTTTGCACCATCTTGAAAACACAGCATTTTGAGGAGCTCCCTCTGGCCTCACAGAACATCCGACAAATGAGCCGGTGACGTCTCCGAATTACCGTGGGTTCTGACAATGAGGAGAAATTCGGAAAGTGTTCGTAGCATGGGCACGCAAGCTGTGGGGATGAATGTCCCAAGTCCCCGGCTGGCTGCACGGCTGGGAGCGTGTTTGCAATGCTGATTCCCCGGCCCCCGGGGCCGGCCCCAGGACTCCAGGCCCCGTGGCCCTCACTCACCCTTGTTGTACAGGGTCCCGTCGAAGTAGTAGCTCCCTGTGTAGAAGCCAGTGGCGTGCTCGATGAGGTGCCGTGCCCACGTGTTCCCGGCTCCCGGGAAGCTCGACAGAGCCACAAACACCTTGGCCTTGGTGGGCAGGAACCGCCGGTCTGTGCAGCGAGTATCTGAAAGGCCAGAAGCTGACCACCGACCGCCCCACCCGGACCCACCGCCCGCAGACTCCTGTTTCACCGATGGGGAAACTGAGGCAAGCCCGGGGGGAGGGGGTGGCTGCCCAAGCCTATGCCCAAATAGAACTCCAGGGATGACGAGGCCTCCCACAGCCCGGGCAGCGAGCCCTGGCTCCCCACACAGCACAGAACATTCCAGGTTCTGCCGGACGGTGGTGGGGCCCCGCCTTGCGGCTCTTCTAACGTTCCTCAAAGCACCTCCGTCCCCAGACTCAGGGAAAGGCCAGGTGTGTCCCGTGCCCAGCCTCCAGGGACGGTGGTGGCCTCCCCTCCCCACCCCAGGACGCACGCAGCCGCACTGGTCTCTCCCAACGCCCAGAGAGCCCATGCGACAGACATGGGGGAGGGCCCCGCACGCCTTGTGCCCCAAGCACTGAACTCACCCTGCACGGGCGTCTGGTAAACCGCGCAGTACTCGGCCAGCCTCTGTGCCTTGGGCTCCTGGCCACACAGTGCGCTGTCCACGGCGTCCCGGAGGCTGAACTGAGGTGTGGGGTAAGCACAGTAGCACTCCCAGCCCCGCAGGATGGCCAGGGGGAACTCCTGCCAGGGAGCGAGGGGGGAGAAGCATGTGGGGTGCCTACCGGGGCCAGGCCTCCTGGCTCGCATCAGCACGGATGGTGCCCATCCTTCCCGCGCCAGCCCAGGGGAGGCAGGATGCACGGGACGTGACTTCTGCCCCCAGCAGCTCAGAGTGGGCCGGGGACCCGACAACAGTCAGAGTGAGGAAGGCCCAGGGCTAACCTTGGGGGCCCGGCGGGAGGGCAGAGAGGACCGGGCACCCGGGGCGTGGTGTCTGTGGGAGCCAGTGCGTGCGAGGGTCAGGATGGGGCAGGTGAGCGCACATACTGCGTTGTGGGCCCACAGGCCGTGAGTCCCAAAGGGACCTCTGGCGTTCCCGCTGGGGCTCCCTGGGGAGGAGACCAGCCCAACCCAGCTGCAGGGGCAGGGGATGCAGGCCAGGACATTCCCGAAGTCCCTGCAGCTCTGCCAGGATTAGGGGTGGGGCAGCGCCTCGTGGTGAGGCCGGCCCCTGGCCTCCTCTGTGGGGTTCGTTCCCTGCTCCCTTTGTCCCCACAGAGGAGACCGCTGGGTGCTGGGCGACCTCGGGCAAGGTGCCTGCCGAGCCTCTCTGTGCTTCACCACTGAACACGGGCAATCAGGGGACTCACACGTCCCTGATGAGGGCGGCCCAGCACGGGGCACAGCACGTGAGTCATCCCTGCCTGCCCCTGCCTCTTGCAAATGGAAATGCAAGGAGGGAGGTGGCAGGGAGGGAGGCGGGAGGCCGAGGCAGCGCCACATAGACCTTTTTATTTTTTGCTTACAGTGAAAATCTCGTAAATAAATAAAGAAAAGAAAAATCAATAGCATTTTCCGAGTGTGGCTTGGCAAAGTGAGGATCTCTGCGTCCAGAAAGTCGCCCGTCCCAGCCATGGTGGGGAGGCGATGCAGAGCCTGTGGGGGGCTCCTGTGCTCAGGCGTGTGACCCCCAGTGCCCTGCACCCCTACCAGAGCCTCTCCCCACCTCCCTCCTCCTCCTGGACGCCCACGGGCTGCTGCACCCCTGCCGGGAGCTCCCAGGGTCCTAGCCCTGTCCCTCTGCGAGCTGAGCTGCCGTGTGGGGACAGAAGCCTAGACCCTGAGCTGTTCTGACACTGCACACCCCCACCACGCACCCCTGTGCGCCCCCACCACGCACCCCTGAGCACCCCCACACGCCCCTGCGCGCCCCCACCATGCGCCCCTGTGCACCCCCCCCACACGCCCCTGCACACCCCCACCACGTGCCCGTGTGCCCCCACAACCCGTGTACCCCACCACGCACCCCACCATGCCCCCACCATGCACCCTCACGCACCCCACCACGCACCCCTGCGCACCCCCCCATGCATCCCACTACCCATGCCCATCGTTGCTACAGCACCAAGCACCCCCCCCCCCATGCAGCAAAAGCCCTTAAACACCCCGGGGGCCCCATCCAGAATGCTAGTCTCTATAAAACAGACAAGTCCTTCGGCTGTTGGCTTGGAAGAGGGGGAGGACCTGGCTTCCCTCTGGCCTCCTCCCCAGCTTGTCTTCTCCCCTGGGACCAGAGCCCCAATCCCCATGCTTTTTCTGTACAAGGCTTGAGACAGGGATTTTCGGAGGACGGGGGAGGCAGTAGCTCAGGGTGTCCGGGCTTCCTGGGCATAGGGACCAGGGAGGAAGCAGCAGGAGTGTAGCGCGTCAGATCCCGACACTGACCCTGACATGTCCAAGCCTCAGTTTCCCTGTCTGCGAGCACCTTCTCATCTCTCAGGACTCCATTGCCTCCCCCCATGCTTGGGGGACCTGAGGGTTTGACACTCTGCCCGTAGGCTCTTCTCCAAGGTCCCCATGCCCGGAAGGTCGGAAGCCCCACCCCCACTGCACCTGTCAGACCTGCCCATGGCCACAGCAGCCCAGCCCCCCACTGGCCACACCCTCAGGCACCGCAGCGAGGCCTGCATTGGCATGTCGGGCTGGAGCCGGGACCGGGCCATGAAGCAGCACCGGCGGAGCCCCCAGCCATCTCTCTGCACCACTCGGCCTCTGTCCCAAGCCCACGTCCTTCCCCCACCTCAGGATGCGGCTGTATTCGGAGACAGGGTCTCTAAGGAAGGAATCCAGTTACAATGGGGCCATGGCAGGTGCGAGCCAATCCGACTGGTGTGGCCATAAAAAGAGATTCGGACACAGACACACAGACGACCATATGAACACACAGGTACAGGACGCCCATCTGTGAACCCACGAGACCTGAGAAGAAACCAGCCCAATGACACCCCATCTTGGGCTTCTGGTTTCCAGAGCCCTGAGAAGTGTGAGCCCCCTGTCTGTGGCACTTTGTTCGGGCAGTTGTGGTGACCTTCTACGCTGGGGTCCTTACGGTCCTTGGCCATGCACCACTGGCACATGCAGAGTTCAGGACATTTGCACCTGCTGTTCTCTCTGCCTGGAACGTCCTGCCCCCAGACCTCCCCCTTATTCAAACCCCTTTCCCTGAGAGGCCTTCACTAGCCACCCTGGGTCACACCACCACACCCTTCGCACCCCCACGAGACCCCATCCCTTTGCTGAGCCCTCTGGTTCAGCCCGTGGGAATCACTGGGTCCCGTTTCCTCCTGCAGTCAGCCGCAGCTCCAACTCATGCTCCGCGGTCGTCCAGCTACCCTAGAACGTCCTGGGAACAGGATCCCTTGGCGCAGACTTTCCCTCCCCTCAGAAATCCGTGTGCCCACGCTGGATCCCCGTGGAGGAACCAGCAGCTGTGGTCCACGTGCAGACACCATGGGGCGTCCGTTCACCCGACGCGTCTGGGCTCTGTCTGCTGTGTCCTCACGAGCGCCAGCAGGACCGGGTCCCAGAAGGAAGTGTCCCTCTACCAGTGGCCACCCCTGTGGGGGTCGCACCCCACCAGCGACCCAAGCCCCTCCTCTTCCTTGAGTGGATGAAACTGTCAGGTTCCGGGTGCGTGCGGAGCACGGGGGAGTGAGGACAGTAATGTGGTTTTATTTACAACAGAACAGAACTGGATTCTGAAAACTCAGGACAATTTCCAACCCCTCGGGGATTTCTAGGACATGATTTCCATAAAAATTAAATATTGATGAAACTTTCTCTGCCAGCTTCCCTGCTCCCCCCAGCCCCACCATCTTCTCAACGGTTGGAGAAGGGGAGGTGGGAGGGGGGACACAGATGTGAGACCGTTTCTATCGGAGGGGCACAGGGGGACGGGGTAGGGAGACAGGTCTCCAACCGGAACTGCGTCCAGAACCTGGGCCTGGTGGCTGCTGCAGGCACAGTGATTCAGTTTGGTGCTGGGTCCTGACATCAGCAGTGGCTGGGCCCTCCCATCCCAGGAGTCCCCCTGCAAAGGCACGTTCATGGCCACAGGTCAGGGAATGGACATCCCAGCAGGTCCATCTGTCTCTGTCCTCCTTGAGCGCCTTTCTTGTGGTCAGTCCCCAGAATTATAGAGAATCACAAAAACGTCAGAGATCAGAACTTCGGGCTTCAGGAAGGCAAACTGAGGCGAGGAGGCAGGTGCCGAGCAGCCCAGACTTCAGACCGTGAGACCGATCGGGGGCAGAAGCAGCCCAGGGCTGCCCAAAACCACACTCAATTCCATGGACACACTCACAAAAATGGGGGTTTTTGGTGAAATCTGCAAACCAGCACGGAGCTTGCCTTCACCGATCTCCTGCCTCCCTTCACTCCGAGGCCGCTCTGGACATGCACACCCAGAAGGAAAGAAGGTGCCCGGGGGTGGTGGCTGCTGGGATGGGCATGGACGGTGGGTGTCACGGTCAACCAGAGCCCGTCCGCAGAGCGCATCACCAAGTGCGTGTCTTCTGCTGACACAACGCCCCTGCCGTCGGGCTGCAAAGTAGGGGCTGTGTGGTCGGGGAGGCAGCCCCGGAGCCGGGACCAGCTCACGCTCCCCCTGCCACGGAAACCCACGGCTTTGAACAGCATCTGTGAGAATCAGTGAGAATGCCACAGCTCAGGGCCACGAGACTGGCCAGGACCACAAGGCAAGGACGTGTCTGCAAAGAGACACACACCCAGGTCACGGACTCTGAAGCCACCTTCCACCATCTTCGGAATGAGGCGTGACTCGCTTCTGGAAACACACCTGAAGTCTCACAAGTGATGCAGGAGACACACGAGTCCCTCACACCAGTGATTCCACGTGTGATGACGCAAGGAGAGCATTACGGGCCGCTGAAAGGCTGACCTTCGGGAATGTTCGCGGCAACGTGGCTCATAGCCACGAAGAAAGAGCCCAAAGTGGGCGGGATGGGGGCTCATGCCACGAGGGACATGTGGAACAAAGGAAAATGGAAGGAGAGATTTCTTTTTTTTCTTTAAGCAGCCGCCGTGCCCAGCACGGAGCCCGAGATGGAACTCGATCTCGCGACCCCGAGACCATGAGCTGAGCTGAGCTGAGAGTCGGACGCTCTACTGGCTGAGCACCCACGTGCCCTGAACAATTCAGTTTTAAAGATGCGAATCCCACCAACATGCCCGTCGAACGGAGGACCTGAAGATGTGAGATGCCGTTGGTGGTGTCCTCCGATGCGGTACCGTCACTGGTAAGTTCTCATTTAATTTCACGTTTTCCAAATTTTCTAAAATAGTTATGTGTTACCTTTAGAGACACCCACCCCCAGAAGAACAAACTTTCTCTGAAGACACACATGGTACAACGTTGACAGGTTTACGGCCAAAATCGTGAGAGAACCCCAAGGCTATGCCAGGTCGTCACTGGCCGGCAGGACCGGGGAGCATTTTAGCAAAGGGAAAAACCTCCCTCCTTAAGCCCACGTCCAGGGACTTAATTCACAAAACCCAGATGCTCACTGCCCTGCCGCTGGCCGGCTACAGAGGCAGCGCCCCTCCCCCACCCCGGGACAGCCTGCACCTGGCAGGATCCAGGTGGGTCCGGCAGAACAGCCGTGGTGCAGGGAACGAGCCAGGTCAGTGCCACGGGAAAGCCCGAGAAGACCCGCCCGAGCCATCAGCCGTCTACAGGAAGAGCTCACACTGTCTCCCTTTGTTCTCGCCCTCCGACAGACCAGGAGCAGGGAGAGGGGACCTCCGGCCACACGCGGGATCCCTGTGGAAGCATCAGGGGCCAGCAGCCCGTCTGCCCACAGTGCTGGAGCTCCTCGCCGGCCCCACGTCTGCCATCCCAGGTCCAGGCATGGACACAGGGCAGGTCTGTCCCTATGGCCGCAGAGTATCAGACCAAATGGCTTCTCTGTGCTCAGACACACGTGACATTGGCCGAGCCCCGCACCGGTGGTCAGACGGTCATGGCACTGACGGTGCCCCTCGTGTCCTTCTGTCTGGCCACATCATGGTGTTCCTGAACCATCACGACCAACCCACAAACCACGGTGGAGACGTCCCCTCTGGGGCCACAAATGCCCCCGACGGTTCTCGGCCCAGACCGGCCCTCGAGAAGCCCAGCCCCACCCCAGCCTTGGCTCCGCGTGGGGCTCCATGAAGTCGCCGCGGCCTTGCTCACGGAAGCGGGACACAGAAAACCACGGAAGTGCTCCCCAGCGGGGGAGGGGTTGCGTAAGCAACAGGACATCTGCGCGATGGAGCCCAAGATGGGGAAAGTGCTGCCCGTGCCAGGACAGAGCGGTCCCTGAGCCCAACTGAGACTGACCGGACGAGAACAGGAGCTACCCGTCCCCTCCCCCAACACTGCTCAGCAGGAACCGCGGCATCATCCTGATGGCACGGGCCCCTGCTCCCACAGCCACGACCCCTGCTGGCTCAGGCAGCATGTGGGGGGCAGCGTGTCCCCCTCAGAGCACCGGGAGAGTAAAGTGGGTCACCCGGCATGTGGGGCACCTCCAGGTTTGCAGATGGAGGCGGCCAGGTCGGGTGCAGTCGAGCTCCTTGGACTGGCGATGGCAGTAGGTGCTCCCGGGGCTGCGGACCTCCGGCAGGTGTGCGGAAGCCCTGGTAGGGCCGTGTTTAGCAGGTGCACATGGCCCTCCACCCACAGCTCTGCTCCCACATGGGGAGCATGGGAACACGGGCCCTAGCCGGATGCCCCAAGGACACCCCAGACACCCCGAAATGCTAGAGTCACAGAGACCCACTCCAAAGGCTGCAGCTTGGGCTGGAAAGTGCAGGAAAGGCTCTGTCTCAGTCCTGATGGGCACGTCTCAAGAGACACCAGGGAGGGCAGGCTCCCCGCGTCCCCAGAAGCCCACTTCCTACAGCTCCAAGCCACCAGCCGGGTCAGAACCAGAGGGCCTGCCTGGGTCCAAATCCCAGCTCCCCCACATAGGGGATGGGTGACCTTGGGCAGCATGCATGACCTTCTCCACCTCTGTTTCCTCACCTACAATCACAGCATGTCTCAGCACCCACTAGGCATGGCCATCAGGAGGGCAGAGTGACTTACTACATGGCGAGGGGTGTGGCCACTGCAGGATGAAAAAGGACATATGCACCACCATCACAAGGACACTCCCGTCTTAGCCCCATCCCGTTATGTGGCCTCTTGTCACAGTCCCCAGCACAGGGGAGCAGCCCTGACCTCAGCCTACTGCCATGCCCTGGGGCCCACATGTGGGCCACTGGACCGCACCCCAGACCTCAGCACTCTGGGGGTCCTGTCGCTTACCAGCCCCACCTGGCCTTGACCACCATGTCCCACCTAGAGCTCCCGTAAGAGGAAGGGACGGAGGCCTCGGCGCCCCGCTCACCCTCTGCAGAATCGTCTCCGAGCCCCTGCTGAGCCAAAGGCACACATGTGACCCTGGCCCTGACGCTGGGTTCAGCACCCAGCCTTGTCCATGGGCACAACCAATGAGCCGTCCACTCTCCCCAAGCCCGAGCCAGCACGTTCCACTAACAAGCCAGTCAGTTTGACACCTGCCATCGGGGAAGGCACGATCCTTCCAGCCTCGTGGCCCAGCGGACAGCACCCCGGCCAGCCTGGGGTGCCCACGCAAGCACAGACCACACGGCCATCCCAAACCTGCGCCTGGCCCGGGCCCCTGCTCCGTGCAGCCCACCACAGACACGCACACGTCACAGCTGGCCTCACCTTCTGGGAACAAAACCCCGAGCACGCGTCCACCGTCGCGTTGGCCTGTGCCAGGGAGTCCGGGAAGGTGTGGGTGCCGTTCTCTGGCAGTCGGAAACACCCACGGTACGTGACAGTCCTCCCTGTGGGAACAGAATGGGTGTCTGCTGAGACACAGTGCCCCTGGCTGTTGGTGCCTGTCAGGGGGAAACGGTGGCTTCGGGGTCTGGAAAGTGGAAAGTAGAGTCAGTGGGGCGGGTTTCAAACCAGACAGCAGACCGCTCTGGACGGCGTGTGGTGGGCCAGGCTCCTGAGACCCCGGGCACCCGAACCTCGCCACCACGGTCACCAACAAGGGACCACGTGGTTGCAGCTGCTGACCTCAGGCCACTTCTCCTGCCAGCTCCGCAGGATGGTGTCTGCCCTCCCCGCCAACCATCCTTCCTTCCGCTAGCTCCCTGGGGATGGTATCCATCACCCCCTTCCTTCTCCCACCAGCTCCTGGGGAATAGTGTCTGTCCCCCTCTGTCCCTCCTTCCTTCTCCTACCAGCTCCTGGGGGATGGTGTCCACCCCCCCGCTCCATCCATCCTTCCTTGTCCTGCCAGCTCCCCGGAGATGGTGTCTGTTCCCACCTTCCTTCTCCTACCAGTTCCTGGGGGATGGTGTCCATCCCCCCACTGTCCATCCTTCCTTCTCTCACTAGCTCCACAGGATCGTCTGTCCCCCCCAACCCCCATCCCTCCTTCCTTCTCCTGCCAGCTCCCTGGGGATGGTGTCCATCCCCCTTCCTTCTCTCACTAGCTCTGGGGGATGGTGTCCATCCCCCCTTCCATCCCTCCTTCCTTCTCCTGCCAGCTCCTGGGGGATGGTGTCTGTCCCTCCTTCTTTCTCTCACTAGCTCTGGGGGACAGTGTCCATCCCCCCTTCCATCCCTCCTTCCTTCTCTCGCCAGCGTCCGTCCTCGCCCCATCCCTCCTTTCTTCCACAGATCTGCATTAGGCCACCCAAGAAGCTGATATTCTGGAAAATTCTATGTCCCTGCCGTGCAGGCGTGAGGTGAAAAGTAGATCCAGAAACGTGAAATGCCGCCACGGCCCCTTGCTGTGCTGCGGGGTCAGACCCAAACTCCTGCCAGCCTCAGGAAGGCTCCCCGAGCCCACAAGCTGTCTTCCAGCCCAGGTGGAGTAGTACAGCTCCGAGTGGGGTCCTGGCTGCTGGGCCTTCTGGAACGTTCCGGCTCTGACAGCTTGCACTCTGGCCACACTCATCAGGGCTGCTTAGGCGGCAGCCTCGCTGTTGTGCCCACTCTGCCCGCCCACCTCAATAGTGTGGAGACCCCATCACCAACCAGCACCCCGGGTGGTGTCTCCATGCACGACCATAGAACAGGACCAGGCCTGGAGTCTGGGAGCCTGTCAGGTGGGCCAGTGCTCTGCGGTCCTGGCGCCAGTGGGCCCAGCGAGTGCCCAGAAGGGATGGACCCGTGAGGAGCGGTGTGACTTGCCATGGGCTGGTGGTTCCAGTGGCACCGGCTGCCTCCGTCTGTGCCACCATCACGGGGAGGGGCTGCCGTCCAGGGCACAGGGCCCCCTCATGCCTGGGGACAGCCCAGGGCCTCTGCAGCCACACAGAACGTGCGAGACCCCCAGATGAGCGTGTCTGTTCTGCAGGCCATGAACCCACACAGTCCTCGGCCGCCCCCGCGCCCACCACGCGAGCCCCTCCAGTGAGGCTGGAAGGGAAGGGAGGCTGCCAGCTCTTGCCCATGTTGAGGACGCAGGGCTGCAGGTGGGAGACGGAGCACAGGGAGAGGCGGGCACACTCACGCTTCCTGGAGCCGGGCGGCAGCTCCTCCACGCGGTAGATGGACAGCCGGCCCACGCCCCCGCACACGGAGCCTTTCTCCCCTTTGCACTCGTGGTTACACGCCTCGGGCCCGACATTGGTCACCGGGAGCCGGTTCCCGCAGTAGCACTCGGCCCCGGCCTCCAAGCCTGCGTACACGTAGGACCTGCAGGGAGAGTGGCCCAGCTGAGTTGCTGCCCCAGCCCCATGGCAGCGGTGACTGAGGTCAGGGTCAGGTCGGGAGGCCAGGGCCGCGGCGGCCTGCCCACAGCTGCCCATAGGGGCCGGTCTTCAGCCAGACTTAGAGGCCCCCCGGCTGGCGGGGAGCCAGCCGTCCTTCGTGATAATCTAGTTTGATCAGCCCCACTCGTGCCTGACTGAGAGCTCTGTCCCAAGGCCCCACCGTGGGAACAGAGGGCCCGAGGCTGTGGCGGGCTGTGAACAGGCTCTCAGGACCAGAGGACAGGAGCCCAAACTCGGGACACCTGTCAGCTCCTGGGATGCAGCACTCCTGCCGTGGATGATTTCAGCACCAGGCTCACGTTGGTCCCCACTGGGCCAGCACGAGTCTGGAACACCAGCCGCCAGGCCTCCGCCCAGGGCAGCTCCCCACCTGCACGTACCAGGCAGGGCCCCAGCATGGGGGAGGAAAGACGGCAGATGGGCCCCAGCGCGGGCTACACGGACACCAGCTCTGGAGACAGGCCAGCACGTTCAAGTCCCCAGCTCCGAGGACTGAAAACCTCTGTGCCCCTCATCACCATTTGTGCCCACCAGCTGGCCATGGGGCCCGACAGTCGCTGTTTACCTGCAAGTCTGTTCCCCGAACTGCTGGGGAGGTAGAAGGGGACTGAGTTGCTGTCACTTTCTACTCGGTCTATGCTGCAAGGCTGAACCGGGACCCATCCTATCTGTTCCAGACTCAGTTTCTCTGTAATGGATCATGACCAAGCTGGAGGGCTTCCCGGAAGAGATGGCAATGAAGCCAAGCCTTCTACTAGAGTCTGAACACACAAGTAAACCGAGGCCCGGGAGAGGAAAACCACCCGCTAACATGGCGGCCTGCTCCCCAGGCACAGTCGTGAGCCCTCATCATGTCCTCTGTGCCCCTGGGGGTTGCTGATCCATCCAGCTCCGGTCAGAGCAGGACACCCCCCGCAGCCACACGCCCCCTCATCCGGAGGTAGACTCTGCAGCCCGGGGCTCTCACTCACCGCTCAGCGCACGCGTCCTGGCAGTGGGAGACAGTCATCTTTCTCAAGTCAAAGAACACGGCGCCCTTCAGGGTTCTGTCCCGGCCGCCGTCGCTGAAGCAGCCGATGTACGTGCCTGAGGATGGGAACACAGCGGAGGCTCAGGCTGGGGACGGGACGGTCCTGTCGCACACCCACCCTTGGGGGGGACCCTTGGAGGGCCCAGGGCACCCGGTGAGGCCTCACCTGCCCCCGGCGCTCCCGGACGCCTGCGCCAGACGGCCCGCTGTCCCCACACACCTGCCAGGAGCAGTCAGTGGCCTGAACAGCAGCCCCGTCCTCCTCCAGCCCCACCTCGCCTCCCGGGACCCTCGTCTCCATCCCCGCCCATCCCCCCACCCCCACGAAGGTGCAGACGGAGCAGGTCCTGTCACCTATGGTCCAGAGGGAGGAAATCGGTTATGGAAAGTCTGACCTTCACTAGAATAAGGAGCATCTTGCAAACAGGAACAGGATCTCAAGAAAAATCTGCGATCCCGGGTGGGGGGAGGGGAGCCGCCGTCACTGGAGGCGTGGACGCAGCGAGTCGGGCGGTAAGGGAGCCGTCCACATGGGACTCGACAGTGCCGGGGACTGCTGAGCCCTCACCCGTGCAGGAGGGGACGCTGGGGGATGGGACCCGCCAAGCGGTCACGTGTTGACCCTGCGTGACAGGTAAGCGCCCTCCCTGTCACTGACACAGAGGGGACTCCCAGACACATGCAGGGAAGCCGGAGAACACAAGCACAGAGCCAGTGCACCAGGCCGTGTGCACGCACTGCCACGTGGCGCAGGAGCTCTCCTGGTCCTACGCCGGTGGCTGGGCTGAGACGCGGACGGGACGCCCCGGCACAGACACTGCCCGTCACCCCGAGGACGTCTGGAAGGGCATCCATGCAGCACACGCTGCCGCTGGGGGGTAACAAGCCCAGGGCAGCCCCACAGCTGGCGGAATGGCACCCTGACCCCCTAATCCCGGTGCCCTGAGGGCAGACGACACTCGCTGTGTTCCTGCCAGGATCCCGGCCCAGAGCAGGAGCCTAGGGCCGCCTGCTGGGGGGTTTGGAGAAGCATGTCTCCCATCTTCATTCCCGGGGACAAAGCCGGGAGCAATCGTCCCATCTGTGAACATTACACCTAACTCTGCCTCTGACCTTGGCTACATCACGACAACGTTCTGTGCCTCAGTTTCCCTAACTATCCAGTGGATTTAAGGTCCACCACCTGCCCCATCCCACCCAAGCCCCTTCCTCTTGCCCCTGGCATGGACCTGTGCCTGTTCCCCGATCATGCCCACGGTCTGCTTCCTGCCCGTCCTCATCGGGCATCCCCGACCACGCCAGCCCACCATGGACCACCAGCCTGCCACGGCCTCTCCTTTCTCCAGATTCGGACATTCTGTATCTGAAACGCTCGCCAATGCCCAAGTCCACGGGGTCCCGCTGTGCCCCGCACACGGTCAGCACCCTGTGCCACAGTAGGTCGGGGCCCCCAGAACCAGGCTGAGGCTCCGCAAGGATGGGGCAGGTGAGTGGGAGCTCGGACACAAGGAGGGGCGGGCCTGCCAGCCCCCCGCACGCAGCTCCCGGGCCCGGAATAAGCAGCGGGAGGTGAGCAGGTGCCCGGAGACAGGATTCCGCCACTGAGCCAAGGTTGCCGAGGCAGAACCTGGGGGCGGCGGGGAGCAAAGTTCACCATCCTCACTGTCTGCCCACAGGGCCTTGAGCCTCCGTGTCCCCTTGGCCCCAGGACACCTGGCAGCTAGCCATGTAGCCACGTAGCCACGGGCACTGGCTCTTGCTCAGGACACCAGCACCCCTGGGGTCACAGACAGGTGAGGACCCCTGAGACCCCTCCCCCTGCAGCAGGATAAAGGGTTACCCTCGACCAGGTACTTGGTGGAGGAAAACTAACCTTTGAGAAATTTCCGGTGTGTTGCATAGCAAAGAAGAAATTCTATTACAACTTTCAATTAAGCTCCAAAACACAAGCTCAGGGGTCATTTTCATGGGAAATGAGCCAAAAACATGTTGAGGGGCCCACGGCATGCGTGGAATGCAAGTCGGGCAGGAGGGGGCGTGACTCTGGGCCCTTGCCACCCCCTCCCTGCCGGGCCTGGGCCTCCCCACCTGTAAGTGGGGACGGACGGCCCAGCGGGCTCGGGGAGGGTGGAGAGAGGGAGGTAAAATACGGCGGTGTCTGGCGCGAGGCCCGGCCTGCGGTGCTGCTGAGGGGCGGCTGCATTGACCCCGACAACGATCAGGATGCAGACTCTCCAGTCCTTCGTCCCTGAGACCTGAGTCAGCGGGTGGGACCCGTGCCGGACGCCCACCAGGGTGCCCCTGGTGCCCTCACTGTGCTCAGGCGGCCGGACGCTGGACTGGAAAACAGCGGCGGGAGACCTGAGCCACGAGCGGGAGAGGAAGAAGCATTTGGAGCCTCGGGCCCGGGCTCTCCGCCGGCCGTACCACGGGGTGCGCAGAAGGCCCGGGACCCTGGCAGAGCCGCGAGCCTTTCATGCTGGAAAATCACTAACTGGCTCTTCCAGCTCTGACGGAAGCGAGGGTGTGCGGCGGAGAGAGGACGTCCGGGGGACACACTGGGACACATTCTGAGGCGGATTTATTGCTTTCGGCGAAAACGGAGGCGACGCATTATTGTCTGTGACTCCGCATCTGTTCATTTGCGCGTCAACACGGACGCACCGTGCGGCTGCTAACGACGGCTTTGGAGATATTGGAATGTCTTTGGAAATCACTATCAATAAAAAACAAACTGGCGAGGGGAAGTTACTATTTCTCCCCTAGTAAACTTACTGACATTTTATTCCATTATGGATGTTGTCCAAGGTATAATGAAATGCTCGGTGATTGATGGCCTCCTGCCGCTTCCGCGCCGCGCAGGAGCCCCTTCCAGGAGCATGGCGGGCTGCCCGGCCGCAAAGAGCCGCCCTCTTTGTCTGCAGCCCCAGCAGCTGGCCCACGTGGGCCGCTGGGCCCCGTGACGAGCGCGGCCAGCACGGAGGCGGGGAGGGTGCCCCAGGGGCTCACGGCGGTCAGCATCCCGATCGCCCCAGAACTGCTGCCCCATGACCCTGCGGTCCTGATCTCTTCAGCGGCTGCAACATCCCATCCACCGCTTCGCCAGGGGGAGATGACGTGGAGACAATGGGGGCTCCCGGCATTGAGACTGGGTCACTCCATACCTCTCCTCCCATTGGCCGGGTCATGAAGACCTTCACCTGGGCCTCGGTGCTGCTGTGTGGCAATCGTCCACCCCCAGACTGAGCTCTTCAAGTGCATGGAGAAGGGTAGACTGGTGCATGGACCCCCGAGGAGGGTGCACAGGGAGAAATAAAGAATTGACCTTTGGCCAATCTGCCCAAGGCCACAGAGCCTGCGACCGGCAATACCAAGGTCTGTTTTCAAAACCTGTGCTCCTTCCCTGGCTGCTGCTCAAGCATTCTGTGTTGACTTTGTCAGTCATTCACACTTTAGTCTAAACGTGTCACGCTGGTATAGTCTGCATAGAGACCCAGCTTCCTGGGGAGATGGGGCAAGTTTATAGAAGGCAGCCTGTGCAGTGAGCTGCAGAATCCATTCCTCTTATCCCCCTCATTCTTAGGTGGGAGCTTGCTGAGGAACCCCACAGCAAGGGCTCTGACCTACGTGACCTCAGGAGAAACCTCCTTCTGTGGAGACAGAAGGACACTGTCCTCTGGGCTTCACTGACCGTCAGTCATCTCCCCAGACGTGAGGGCCTCAGGGGCTCCTCCCTCTTCCCTGGATCGTCTCACTATCTTGGCAGTGAAGCCAGGCTCCCAGGCCTGGCCCTCCTCCTGACCTGCCACCTCCAGGCTATACTCCGAGATGTCTCCCGGTCCCTCCCCTGCCACTTGCTCTTCCCCAGCTCCCTCCTTGCTCCCTGCCAGTGTCCTGGGGTCACACCCCAAACAGAGCACAGCTCCTGGGGAACCGAATCCAGGAGAGTAACCCTGGCAACTGACAGAGCATCCCCACATTCCCATGTTTCCCCGCAGGATCAGGACGTCGCCATCAGTGTATTTCCATCAACGTGTCATTTATAGGCACAGCACAAATGCCGTATGATTAGCTGTTTAACAATAAAAGAGCAGCCACCAGGGACTGGCGCCGGGAAGCACACCAGGCCCCTGAGCCCAGGGGTCTCTGCCTGCGCGAGCCCCAGAACTACCCGCAGACGGTGCTGTGCAGACACGGCCCCCAGCCCGTGATCGGGGGAGGCTGAGGACCTGTACGTGGGACCGGCTACTGCCCTGGGCCCTCCCTGCTGTCCCATGCCATCCCCACGCGAGCCCTGGGCTAGGTATGTCTGTCTCTACGCCCCAGGGACCTGGGGGCATTAGGTCAGGAGTCCAAGGTTGCTGCTAAATCAGGACGCAAGCAGATGTCCACCTGAACCCAGAGGCCGGGTTCTGGGACCTGCCCAGCCAGTGAGTGGGCAGAACTCAGTGGTCTGGAGGCCGCAGGTGGGGCCTGAGAAGGGGAAAGCCACCCCAGGCCCCGGGCAGGGCTCCCGGGAGCGGCCCCCCAACACGCCAAGGGGTCCAGAGCTAGGCACCTACCTCGGCTGCTGGCCACGGGCCTAGGGGCCTCAGGGCCCGGAGCGGGCGGCCCCTGGGGGTCCCCCATGAAGTGCTGGAACCAGCGGCGTCTCAGCTGCCGCAGCTCCGAGTTCCGGCTCCGGAGCCCTTGGGGGCCGGGCCGGGGCCGGGCCGGGGGCCTCTGCAGCACATCCACGCCGAGCAGCAGCTCCGGGCTGACGCGGGGGGCATGCAGCGCCCTGCTGTCCAGTAGGCCCACGCCCAGTGCCACGGCGGCCACGGGCAAGGCCTGCAGGGGGCCGGGCGCTCGGGGCCCTGGTGGGAGGGCCACGCGGGCGCGCCGCAGCAGCAGCAGGCCGCCCGTCATCAGGTAGGCGGCCGTGAGGAGCAGCAGCAGGACCTGCGTGCGCCGCAGCAGCGTCTGCAGTCGGAGGAAGGGTCTGGCCATGCCCCCGGGCGGTGGGGCTCCCGGCTGGGGCCTGGGCGCGGCTCCTAGCGCCCGGGCGGGAGGGAGGCCAGGGCCCCCAGAGGCCTCATCTCTGCATCCCGGGGCTGGCCTCTGCTTCTCGGGGCTCCCGGTCCACCCGGCCTGTCTCCGGCAGGTGCCCCAAGAACACCATCACGCGTCTCCGGGCGCGGGGCCCTGCGGCTGTGGCTCCTGCCCCAGGGTCACCAACTCTGCCATCGCTGGGCTCCGCCAATGCCCACGCCTGTCTGGGGATCTGGAAGAGCAGAGAGAGCATGCTTAGATGCAAGGGGAGGGGCATGGTGCCGCTGCGCCGGGGTCAGGAGCCCCCCGCTCCGGCCTCTGTTTCCCAAAGGGGATGCCTGTGCTGCAGGAGCCCCAGAGAGCAGGACTCAAGTCCCAGCTCCGTGACCAGCTGGCTGTGTGTCCCTGGGTAGCCCCTCAGGCCTCAGCTTCCCCATCTGTAAAATGGCGATGATGCCCCCTCCCCCTGAGCAGCCCTGGACATCCAGGGACAGAGGTGGCTCCGCAGAGAATCCTCTCAGGCCGTGCCCGGAGCTGAACACTGACCTAGCATCTCGTTCAACCCTCGGGGCAGCCCAGAGGAAGATGGTGGAACAGCCCCATTTCACAGATGAGGCAAAAAGAGGCAAAAGAACTTTCCCACGTCGTTCTGCCCGCAAACAGAGGAACCAAGACTTGAAACGGTCTGTTTCAGGGCCTGAACTGTAAACTAGGAACTGGCCCAGCCAGCAATGGACGCCAGCGTGCAAAAGTGTACCCAGCCCAGTGCATGCGTATGCAGCAGGCGCTCCATGCATGCACAAAGTCTGCCAACGCCCTCCCCAGGGCGCCTTGGTCCTGGAAGTTGCGTTCTGGGAACTGCTTCGCAGAGCCTGGTGGGCTCTAGCCCGGGAGAGGATGAGGGGCTGCGCACCTGCTCATGGAGACTGGGGCCCCTAGCGGGAAAGCAGGAGGCGCTCAGCGCGGCCTCCCAGGGCTGCCCCCGGCTCTCACGTTGGGCTTTGGCTCCAGGTGGTGGTGCCTCTGAAGTGGGCTGCTAGGGGCTGGCAGGGGCTCTGCAGCTGCCAGGAGCCAAGCCGTGGTGTGAGGGTGGCCCTCGGCACAAGGACAGTCTTGTCCTGGGAAGAAAAGCTCCCAGGAGCATGACTAACGTGGCCCGGGACCCCCGCCAGGCCCACAGCCCCTCAATGGCTGCTCTGTGAGGGGCACAGCCGGCCTGGTGTGAGCAGAAAGACAATGTTTGGGCCCCCGTGGCCTGGCATTCCCGGGGCAGAGATCCAGAGCGGCCCCCCAGCCAGCACGGCCCTTTCCAGCTCAACTCACAGAGCCCCCCGGTCCCGAGGACCCGGAGAGGGCTGGGTCTGGGATTGCGGGGGCAGGCCCTCTGTCCGCAGCCGGAGCTGGATTTAAACTCTGAGCCGGGAAGCCATTGGCCCCGGTCTTGAGCTCTTACTTTCTCGTTAAGCTGGCGCGCGCCGGGCCCGCACCAGCCAGCCTCGTCAGATTTGTAACGCTACAGAGAAAATCCCAAGAAATCCTGCCTGATCCCCCAGCCTCTAGCTCTGGACCTCCAATCCGCCCTCCACAAGGCCGCCAGGGCGATCCTCTGAACACACGAATCTGATCACCGTGCTCCCCGGCTCAAAACCCCTCTCAAAAGCTCCCCGTGGCTTTGGGGTCACACTCCGAGCTCCTCAGTGGGACACACGAGGCCCCTCCCGGGCTTCTCCACCGCCCAGCCCTTCCCTTTGGCTTCCCGTCACACGCGTGTGCAAGCACGCATGCCCCACGCCCCAGGGCGCCACCAGCGCATGCCATCCTGGCGCCTCTTCTGTCTCTCCCGCCCTCTTAGCTCAATGAACTCCTGTGTTTCCTCCACGTCTGAGCCCAGGAGTCACCTCCTCCAAGAAGCCTTCCCTGATATCAGAAAGCCACCCCTCCTGTGGGGTCTTGGAGCCCCAAGCCCTCAGGAGACACCAACTCAGAGCTGGGGGGCCCAGCCCAAAATGTGGGGAAACACGTATGGTGGGCCGGGCGCCGTCAGGGCCCATGGGTCAGGATCCCAGTGATCACGGACCCCACAGTGTCCTCTGGAGTCACCCCCTCCCAGAGGGGCCTCCTGGTCTGGGGAGGGGGCCTGGGCATTGAGGCAGGGCCGGTCGTTTTCAGCGTCCTCTAAAGCAGCCTGCCACCCTTGCGGCCAGCCTCACACCTCCCGGTCACCCCTACCTCTCCTTGCGGCGGGCACCGAGCACACCTCACCTACTGGCGGGCACTGGTGGTGGACGCTTGCCAAGGCCTGGGGGTAGCCAGGGGAGGGGCAGCTGCATGGAAGCTCCCGGCCCAGCCAGGGTCAGCCCCATGGCGCAAGCTGCCAATGCCTGGGGGTCATCCAGCCACAGCCTGTCTGCACGGGCCAGAGACCATCGGCGGTGCCCGTGGCACCCCAAACCCCCATGGGGCAAGGCATGGCTCAGAATGGAGCCTCAGGCTCCTCACCTGCGAAATGGGACCAACAGCAAGGCCGTGGATCCGACCACAGGGAAAACTGCTCCCTACAAAGCTTGGTGCTCGCCATCATGAACACCGAGGAGGGGTCCCTGACAGCTGACCCACAGATGAATTCAGTCTCCCAGAACCCCTCGCCTCCCCGTAGCCCCGGCTCCCTGGGTTGGGCCTGGCACCCCGTCCTTGCTCGAAGCCGCCCCTGGGCTGTTAGCAACCACTTCCCTGTTGTGCCCCCTCCCCGAAGCACTCCCGGCGCGAAGGAGGAGCCAGGCTGGGCCGCGGCCACCTCCTGGCCCTGCCCCGTCCTGGCCTGTGGTCAGACCACTGGGCTGCCACATGCCCCCAGCTCAGCGACCCCGATGCAGCCCTGTGGGCAAGCTCCAGCCTCCTGGGGTGCCCCGTCCACTGGGAGTCCGGGCCATTCTCCCCCAAGCTGCTCTCCCCCACGTGGCACCTCCTGTCTTGTCATCAATCAACGTGCTCCAAGGAGAGAACAACGAGGGGACACGCTGCTGCCTGAGGCCGGGGCCTTGTCGGCCGGGAGGGGGGCGGGGCTCAGCACCCCAGAGAAGGGCAGGGGCTGGAGGAACGAGGGATCCCACGTCCCCTCCCAGGAAGGAGAGAGTAATGGGGCCCAGGGTCTTCTGGGGGTCCCAGGAGGAAGAAGGACCCTCTCGAGGGCAGGGGCTCAGGAAACCTGGGTCCTCTCCTGGTACTGTGTTGCCACCCGGGTCCCAGGGGGCAGCAGGTGCCGAGCCTGCAGGTGAGGGATGTTGGGCAGATGCCGCCTGCTGCTTGGCGAGGCGGGGGGGAGGGGGGCTCCCAGGGACTGAGCAGGTGGGGGGCGGCGGCAGCAGGGAGAGGAGAGCCGGCAGCCCCTGGGGCCTGGAGAAAGAGCTCTGAGGGTTCCAAGCCCAACCCCGGGCCACTGAGGTTCGGTCAGGTGACTCTGCCTCCCTCACCTCCCCCCCCAGAAAGGATAGGCAGTGACAGGTGAGGGGAGAAAGACTCCAGGTGCCCCCAGAAGCATCTCAGCCCTGTGACCACGGCCTGAGGACAGGGACCCTTGGGGTTCAGAGCCGCACGCTCTTAGTGGGGCAAGAAGCTTGCAGACAGAGGCACGGGGCCGAGCACGCTGCTTGCCTCGCAGGAAATGGGCAGTGGGGTCCCCGCAGCCCTGAGCTCCAGCTTCCACGACGGGGGGGACAGGGGAGTCCTCAGCCTCAGGACCTCCAGGAGGCCGCACTAGGGAGCCTCCAGTGGGGCTCGGGGCTCTGAATTAGCTCCCTCTGCTTTCTACCTCCCCTGCAGCCTTGCCTCTGCCCTGCTCAGGGCCTGTCATTGGATACCCTGCCCCCTCCAAAAGGCTGGACCTAAGAAAGTGACCTTCCTAACACGCAACCAGTAACTGCCGTTTGCAGGGGCTCCCGAGGACCTGGCGGCCAGGTCCAAGCTCCCCAGCCTGACGCTCTGTCTCCTGGCCCCTTGCAGAAGGCCACGTCCCAGGCACCGTGTCCGCAGGCCCACGGGAGCCGCACCACGCCCCCTCACGCACGCTCTTCCATTGGCCAGGAGCCCTGGGGTGACTTGCGTGACTCTGAAATGCTCTGTGGCCATCAAGGCCCAGCTTCCATGCCACCTCTTCCATGAAGCCTTCCTGATCCCCCAGAGTCGATGCTGGAATGGGATGCTCCGTGAACGGCGCCGGTGATTTGTCCTGCCCCAGGTGCTACTCAGCCCAATCCTCCTCCCAGCCTGGGAGCCCGCTGAGGCCGCACACACGCAGGGCCCCTGTCCAGCTCTGGGGTGAGCACAGGGCGGACCTGCCGGAGGTCCGTGCCCATGGCCGTCCACGTCCTGGGGCCCTGTGCCTCTGCACCTTGGAGGCTCAGAGCCAAGAGAGAAAGGACGCCCCTGAATTCAAATCCCTGGGCCCTCGGGCCAGACGAGGTCCAGGAATGGGAATGGGGTGGGGATCCCTCTGACTTTAAAAAGGCAGATGCTTTGATCTTCTGAATGCACAACTTACGTGAGAAAGTCCAAAATAAGAAGTGTCGTTAAGAAGGTATAAAGCGTACGAGGAAGGTCAAAACTCCATTCACCGTGGAGCCCAGAGAGGACGGTCCCTCCCGCCCACCGCCGAGGTTCGTACAAATGGGGCCTCCTGCGCCTCAACAGACACCAAAAGATGCTCTCACGCGGCACCACGTGTGTGAAAGGAGCAGAGCGGGCAGTGAACGCGGAGGCTCCCCTAAACCCTAGAGGCAAGGTCACCGCGGGCCGTCATAGGGACCCGGCTGCTGACAGAGTTGGGGCCACGGAGCCGGGCCACAGACGAGACACGAGACCCACGCTTTCCGAGGTGCCGCGTCACACGCCTCCCTCCGCTCGAGCCCCGGGCTGCAGAGACAGCTCCTCCGGAACCCCGGCTTGTTCATTGGTTCGTGTGCTTCTCCCACTCGGGGGCCACCCCTGGAGGGTCATCCAAGGCCCTCAGCGATTCGGATAAGCCCGGGCGAGTGAGCGGAGCACGCAGACTCGGCCTCGGCCCCCTCTGGCTCCCGCAGCCGCTGGGACGGGGGACTCACCCTATGGGAGGGGGTGCCTCGGGCGCTCCGGCCCTCCAAGCCCTCCTGGCTCCCT